GTGTATGAAGCCTCAAAAAGTATTTTGTTGAATCCAATGGTAAATGGCCTGTACCTATACAATTGTTTTTCATATCTGGAGACTTGATTAAAGTGCTTTACACTACAGTCATTCACACACAGTAACAAGGTACAATGTAGCCACATCCATGAGCATTTGGATCCAGGGTCCTAGATCCAAATGTATGACTTTAGTTAGGGTAAATAAAATGCAATGTCTGTAGATCATACAATTCCATCCCTTTCATCTGGGGACGTTCCAATACCATTTTCTTTCCCTGAAACGGTTCCGATGCTTGTACGGTGAATATCGGCCAATAACCATATGTTGCAATAAATAAAAATGCTACACATGCATGACTGATTTCATTGTGACTAGGCCTGGCTGAGGTTGACTAATGGAAACAAGACAGCAAATTTAAGCCAGTTATTTTTAGTAGCAGCAGCAGCAAGCTCTGGCTCTGACAGGTGATCAGCTCTTCAACAATCTGAAGCAGAAGGTGGCAGCACACCGCAATAGTTTTAAGAGTTGCAAAGAACCATCAGAACTAGCAATTACATTTTCACTCTAAATGACATGGCATTGGCTTGTTGCCCAGACTCCAATAGAGATGCCAGAATCTTTGGCAGCATTTGAGACATTTCTAATACTGTATTGGAACAGCTCTGTCACCTCAGCAATTGTGAACAAAGTTTAAGGCACTACAGATTTCATTTAGGGCTGTGGTTAAATAGTTTGGGACTACAGCTGAAGGTTTACTTTAATAGCTCAGAATTTAGTCAATAACCGACTCCCTTCAATCCTGCATCAGAAAAAAAAAAACACACACACCCCAAAGATTGTTCATTTGCTTGAAAAGCTAAATGCCTTCACATTTTAAAAGGGTCCTGGATCCAAATCAGAACCAAAATATGAATTCCATTCTGATTTTTATGCATTTAAAACCATGAACCGATCTAGATAACAAGCATGCCAGCTTTTCCATGAGAGAAAATCTGAAAATTGCAAAGTGACAGACAAATCCAAGTTAACTTGAGACTTTCAAGAGTAAAAATGCTTTAGCAATAAAGTTAAAGTCAACCTAAACTTTTATACAAGTCTTTGGCCTGAATATTTTCTACAGTATTACCAAGTAGGACGTCTACAAATAAGATATTTTTGCATTTAAAACACACAAAAAAAAAAACAACTTACCACAGCTCGATGCATCTGACCTTTAAGTAATGATGCCTTCACATTTCCCAGGCCCACATTGATTTGTTGGATAGTTGGCAGTGACTCATTGTCAGTTTGCACATTGACCACTTCCACATAGAACTCCAGCAGACCTTTAGATTCTGTGCAAGTCTTGGCCAGCACATAAGTGCAGGGGGACATCAATCTGAAGGCTACACCATCAAAGGTGTGGCAGTCTGTGTTTCTGTGGATGGTGCACACACCTGAAGGAGAAATTTTTCTGGGTCCATCTAGAGGATCACAGGTTTGATCCTTAGGGCACTGAGAAGGCAAACAGAAGAATTGGTAACCTGAGCAGAGGCAACGTGTTGTGTCATCAGTCCACAGCTCTGCGTTTGATTCACACTGGTGTCCTGCAGGAGTAAAATTAAGGTCAAAAGTCTGACAAATCACTTATCATTGGTTGACTTTCACTATAGTGAAGGTAAACACTTACTGCATGAGCCTTTTCTTACTCCAATTTGTCTTAAGGTTTTTTGGTCTACAGTCAGTGGACGGAAAGCTTCAAATATGACCTAGTAGAACAAATAATTTCATTAGAGACCAACTAAATATTTCCAACTTCAAAGCAATTATATTAGCAAATGTGAAACATTTCACCTGAGTGCCTTGTTCAGTGATGTTAAGGGGCACAGACACATGTCGCCATCCATCTCTGGAGAGGGGAAGAGGTGTCCAGATCTCAAGCTGACCCAAGCTGCTGTTCAGTAGAGCACGAACTGAAGCATTCCTGGATGCATCTGAGACCAGATGCCAGAACTCCAAGCAAACCTTTCCCACGACTGCTAATGGATGGCTTGTTAATATTTCCTGTTTTCTACTTCTGGGAGCTAAATGTAAAAACAGATTTCCAGAAGGACAAAGAAGAATTATATTTTTGAAAAGTAACTGGACACAATCCTTTGAGGGAAAAAAAAAAAAAAAAAAAAAAAAAAAGTTGGCTACTGGAAGACCACTAAAGAGGATATAATACTTCTTTAGATCAGAAAAGAGCATTGAACTTTATTTGATCAAATCAAATAAACAGCATTGCGTTCAAAGAAAGTAAATCAGCGTTCTTGAATTGTTCATTATATCATGTACAATACCTGATCTATGGCTGCTTGTCCAGTTACAAGTCAGATTCCCATGCTGGCTGAAGAAACACCAGGAAACATAATCTAGGAGATATTAGTTGGAGCATTTAAACCCTCATTCTGTAAGAAATACTCTCAGCAATGTTTGTATCAAGTTCTGCATCACCTGAGGTTTGCTCCCCCGCTGGTAACTTTACCAATGACAAGTCATTTTCAGCGCTAAAAGTTAAAGAAAATTCATTAAGAGTCAGACTACAATTAACTTAAAATAAAAATTTAAAAATCCATACCTGCATATAGTGCCCAAGTGAACCAAAAAGACCAGTGCCACAGTGATCACATTTGCATGGATATCTCCAAGCATGGCTTATCCCCCCCCCAACAGCAGCTTTTCAGCCGCCACAAAGTCAGTGATGTTGAAGGATAAGTGATGAATAGTTCCTGTATAGCCCTTCTATGAAGACAATTCACATGTTAGCCACTTGTAACACTTCAGGAGTCTTTCAGTTCTTGAATAGCAGGGAGTCAACTGCATATTTTATCCCCGCAACCAGGTAACTTCATTAGTGGGAGGAGTAACAATGACTAAAAAGGGCTTGACTTGGCATGTAAATCTCCAAGAGGTCATAACGTCCAGCCAACAGTTTCAGTAAATAGTGACATGACAAGGTTTAGGACTTGGAGGCTATAAAAAGCACTGAACCAAACTACAATAAAATCCAACTGATAGACTAAACTGCTTTTCCTGAGTCTTGTAAAGGGGGAGACTCAAACATTAGCACAGAGAGCATTAACAAAGTGAAAACAATTTGATTGATCAACTGAAACCATTCAAAGGGCAAAAGATAAAAGTCAGTCCAAGGGAAAAGTCAAAATAAATCACTTTAGGAGGTGAATATGTCAAAGAAATGACATCTTTAACAATCAATACCAACATCTGATAAGTAGATATTGTTAGAATAAAAACAAAAGCAAACAAAGAGAAATTATAAAACTCACCCCTAAAGACTCAAACAGTATTATCTGGATGACTTGATTTCCCCCTGCAGCACACCTGGTTTAAATAGGGAACTGATTAGCAGCCCTTGGTGAATCTGAGTGATGAACCAATCATACATTTGCATCCAATGTGCTGAAGTGGGAAATCTTCAAAACTATTATGGGGACCAAATTCCCAAAAAGCAGCATTTTAAAATCTGCCTTGCGTTAGGAATTACTTTTCTGCACATGGAGAAAATGATGGTTGAAGAGACACTAATTTGACCTTCTGAAAAAACATTGGGGGATCATTTCTTTAAATTTGTTTGTAAATTTAAATAAAACTATTTTCATACAAATGATGTTTTTGTTTTTCAACATTTAGAACTGGTATAACTGCAAGAAATTAGTGCCATTTCCAGTATGAAGTAAATGTTTTCTGATGTAATTCTAATTTGTATTTTTGCAATAAATATGTTTAAAAAAATCTCTATCAATTTGTACAACCATTATTTTAATATATCCACAAACAAGTTGTACGTTGTGACCTGGTGATGTAGATGGTGTTTGCAGAGGTGTTGAGTGTGTCAACCAGGTAGCCTATCAGAGATTGAAAGGATGTGATAAGAAAAAAGAACCATTGTGTGGGAAGTGCTGTTTGAGTGAATTATTGTGACATTCTGTAGACTGTAGGGGCATTTGTAAATACTGAGCTTGGCCCTTAATAAACAGTGTTTAAAAAAAATTCCTTAGCAAAGACTGTCTTTGTGAGAAACCTACATTCATGCCTTTTGTGCATCTAAAAATAAAGGAAATTTTCAATCACATGGAGTATTTTCACTTTACCCACTTGCTACTTTTACGAACATTTAACACTTTGGATGAAAACACTGGGTATACTTGCATAATTTTCACTCACTCTTATTGGCTTATGCTCTTTTGTTTTTGACTGGCATTGCATTCAGACAAACAGCCCCAATCTAATCTTAAAACAAGGAGAGCTAACAGGTATTATAACAGTAGATTCTGAACATTTATGGTGTATGATAAAGTTTGTAGAAGAGCAACGAATGACATAATCTGACCCATAAAGTCTCCATAGAGGTGTGCTGTGCGTTATTTTCAGCACTGTTAAGCAATATATCAAGCATTTTTTATGAAGGGTTCTTATGATTACTTATCATTTTAACATTTGAAACATGCAAATTTCCTTATAGCTACAAATTGGGAAATGTATGTCTGTTGAAGCCTACACCCACACATTTAGGTGTGCAACAGATTACTGAATGTATATCTTGCCTGCACACTGATTCATGTTAATGTTATCTAAGTCTCCATTTGGAACCTTTCTGTCCCACCCAGTAGAACAAAACTGTAGCGATACCTAACATAGTAACCTTATCAACAGTTCCCATTAATCACCAAGCGTGTTGAAATATGAGATTTTTAGAACACTGTCTAACCCCATACCTATAAATCCATAAAGTTGTTCTAGTACTGGTCCCCCCTGCAAACAAGCTTCATTAATAATAAACCATGTCCACAGGAAGCAATAGACAAAGGAGCAAGGGGAGAGGAGTCAGTGCAAAATATTATGCTGTGGAATATTCCAAGGGTCACCTCATGCAGATGCCTTGATCCATGACAAACAGTTAATAAACATTTGCTTGCTATTTATATTATCTACTTGGACACGGAAGAACAAAAATAGTACACTATAGGAAGCTGAGAGGTCAGGGAACATGGCAGATCTGTCAACATGTTGCCGCAATGTTACTGTGTTTTTATTCGTTATGAGTGTAAAAAAAAAGATAACACCTTTTCAATGGAAAATTAAGAGATGACAAAGCTCATTTTTAACTGAAGATTTCGGAATCTGACTTGTGACTGAAAAATATTGATGGACATTCTGGAAAATAATACAAGTTAAGTTAAAGATGTATATTCTGAATTTACTCCTGAAAAAAAGTATTGTGCAAATGATGGCTATAAATAATGATTCTGAGTTCCCTAAAGTTAAGAGGTCAGCAGTAATAAGTGAATGATCCATCAGCGGTTGAATAGCTGCATAACTTTCCACCTCTCAGAGATTTTCCAGCTTAGTATGCAAGGTTAAAAGAACACATGCATCATGTTCTGTTCTACAAACAACTACTATTATTTGTTTTACTATAGCTTACCTTTTCTTATTTTCCCATTGAGTAGTTTTCCACCCCTGTCAGTTGTCTTTGTAGTAACTCCAAGCTTGGAGTTGACCTCTCAGGTAACCAAACAAGGACACAAAGGACAATAGTGGTATTGCAGCAGTTTTTAAATTGCAGGTGAGATGTTGCAACCTCAGTTGGTCTTGGAATTGCCTTCTCTAGCAGTATAAAAGACAAACAAATGAAATCTGTTGACATATACTGAGCTAGTTTGCATGCTCGTCTAAATTTCACGTTTATGCAATCTTACCTTAAACTTACATTGCTATCTTTTTAATGCCAAATGCAATTGTTTATATGGCAAGATTAAAAATTGTACTGCTTTATTAAGTTTATCCTTTCCAAATTCCATCTCAGTAAAGACATTAAAGCCTCAACATCCTTTTCCTATTTTACCAACCCTGACAATTATACAACAACATTAAAACTTAAACATCCACATGTAGGTGATTGTCTACATACCTATTAAAATTAAATTTGAGGAAATACAATAGTTTATATGATTTAGCAAGCCTTGCAGATTTTTGCGTAGATGTTTGGTCCAGCCAAGTTTTAACTCCTCATACAGACCTCAGATTTACTTCCTTGAAGTCCACTGTATTTTGGAGATAATCCTATTTGCCACTTAAGAAGGTGGGCCTTGCTCTTTTAAAATGCTGTCTAAAAGACAAAATGCTCCTGAGAGTGCTAGTGCTAACCTTAGCTTAACAATTAATGCAATTTCTGCATTACCTGAGGAGCTTTGCCAAAAGCCTTTTGCAGAGATCCAGTATGACACACTTGACTCTGAGCTGGACAAAACCAAACTAAGTCTGAAGACTTAGAACGTTGCAGATCCAGAAAATACTTGCACTTCTTTTGGATACGAGACTGCTAAGCGTATGGCAAAGGTTACAGCTTTGGAGAACCGTAGCCATCAGCCACCACTGAGAATAGTTCCCAATTGAGTTTTTTCCCCCCAGTTTGGGCAAAAGATTAATGGGAAAACATCCTAGCTTCAGTGACATTAGCCATGACCTATCAATAAGGTCCTGGCAAAGGTCCATAGACTAGACTATGTCTTTCTTACTTATATATCTGGGGATCAGACAGGTTTTATCAAAAGCAGACGAGCATATTTAATTATTAGATGTCTGTGTGATATTCTTTATTCTTTTTCTGTGCATTATTTCTATCAATATGGAAAACGCATTTGATCAAGTTGAATGGCTCAACCGTGCTGGACACATTTAGTTTTGGACATTCCCTTAAATGCACACCATGTAACTTTTAACCATTAGGGGCGCTAGACCTCTAACTGCCTGTATTTTTCTTCTACTCTAAAGTAATACAAATATATGACTGTATACTAGGGGCAAGCCTAGTCTAGTAACAAAGTTGAGAAAAGAAAATTAGTTTTACATCCAGCTTCTTCTTTCAGTCTGTGCCAATGAATAAACTCCTTTCTAAGATCGACTCTTGTTTTTCCTTAGGCACATCCCTTTCACGTTTTCTCTTTTTAGTCTCCTCTTAAGCATTAAACCTTTTCCTTGCCTCAGCCTTGACCAGTACTCCAGCAGGCGGAAAAATTGCAGAGAAACTGCCTTAGCTTGATTACTATATAAAAGCCTGTGGCTGTAAAGCGATACGTTGCTCCAGGTCACATTACCTGGCCAACAACGGTGCATCTTCTCCCAAATTACATATCCGGTATTTCAAGAGGGGAGTCCCGCAAATAGATGATAGTGTCAAGTGCTGTATACTGGCCTGAGGAATCATTTTAAATAACTATATATGCGTTAACTGTTTGGTCACAAAGTCTGCGATGTGCTTTTAACTTATGGAGCAAGCTACTTCAGTCCCTGCCCAATGCAATGACTCAAATTATTTCCAGAATACTTTGTCCTTTATTTTTGTTTTATGGAACTTGCCAGTGATGCCCTTTGAGCACCCATACTTTTTTATCTAGTAACAGAACCCCTTGCAACAGCTCTTTGTAGTTATAGATATTTTTTGGTATATGGAGAGGACATATTAAGAACAGGGTCTCCTTCTATGTGGAAGGAGAAATTAGTTGGTTCTTACTGCTCAAAACTGCTCAGTCACTTTTAGGCTACAAACTGATTATGGGGATTAAAAAACCTTGGACCTGTCAAGTTTGACTTGATAGGTTATAAGTTCAATTACTCAACTCAACTTTGTTTATAAAGCCCTTTAAAACAACCACAGCTCCCACAAAGTGCTGTTCATACCAATTACAGTTAAAACTGAATAAAGCCACATTAGAGTTTAAAGGAGTAAAACTAATAAAATAAAATAAAACCTTTAAAAAAAAAAGATAAAATAAACCACA